GGTATTGCTTTGCAAAAATGAGAAATACCGCTCTGTGAAGACCAATATCATGCAAATACCGAGTTGTACCGAGTTTTTCTACAACTCGGTACAACTCGGTACAACTCAGTATTTGCTCAGGATTTGCTCGGTATTGCTAGGGATTTGCTCGGTATTGCTAGAAAAAACTAGGTACAACTTGGTATTTGCTCGGTATTGTTAGAATTTGCTCGGTATTGCTTGGTATTGGTTATTGCCGAGCAAAATCGATCAATACCTAGCAATATCTAGTAATACCGAGCAATACTGAGCAATCTTGGATCCGCTCCGGATCGAATTGTCGGGACACGCGATAAATAATGAAAATGCGTGACACGTTAGTGGCGGCCGAACATAGAGTTGCCTATGTTCACCGGACCAAATAAAAGTTCGGTAAACGGACCACGGCATTCACGTGAAAGGTTTTGTGCATCCAGTTGCTGCGATTGGGAAGTGGTAAGATTTCCTTAATGCCCATTCCTTCTTTATTCTCATCCGTCCCCGGACTCCCAAGAGTTGAAATCAGTTTCGTCGCTTTCATTTTTTTATTCAACCAACACGAATTATGCATTTCTTTCTTGGATTTACCCCAATGCTCATCCATCAGAGAGAGGTGGCCATGGCAATAGCCATCCTTTCTGTTCTAAATTCATCAATTTTGTTGCGGCATTTTGCTTGATGTCTCTTTCTGGGTTGAGCACATCTTATAGCCTAGGGCATTGTTATAGAATGGAGGGGCATGCTCAGAAGCAGAGGCTGTTTCATGGTGAGGATCAGGTGAACGGGGAAGATAGGATCAGTGCGTTGCCAGATTCCCTAATCCATCATATTCTCTCGTTCTTGCCTGCCGATGAGATCATGAAGACCAGTTTGTTGTCGCAGAGGTGGAAGGATTTATGGACTTCAGTCCACAGCCTGGACTTCAGCTTATAGCCTAGGGCATTGTTATAGAATGGAGGGGCATGCTCAGAAGCAGAGGCTGTTTCATGGTGAGGATCAGGTGAACGGGGAAGATAGGATCAGTGCGTTGCCAGATTCCCTAATCCATCATATTCTCTCGTTCTTGCCTGCCGATGAGATCATGAAGACCAGTTTGTTGTCGCAGAGGTGGAAGGATTTATGGACTTCAGTCCACAGCCTGGACTTCAGTGTGGCTATTTCGATGGAAGAAGAATATTTCATGTTTCGATTTTTGTGCAAATATCTGACGAACTACAAGGGTTCTAAATTGTTCAAGTTTCGTGCTAATTTCTACTATAAGGAGGCGAAAGATTTGTTTGTTGATTTCTTGCTCTTTTTTGTAAAGATGCATAGCATTGAAGAGCTGGATTTGCACCTATCGGCTAGGTTTTGGGATTATTTTAATGGAAGGAATTTGAAGAATTATACTGTTAAATTACAAAGCTGTCTTTTTGACTGCCGGGAGTTGAGGGTTTTGCGGCTGTCATGCTTTGATTTGAAGGAGCACGCCTGTATCCGTTTTAGATATCTTAAAGTGCTTGACTTGAGATTAGCAAATTTTGAATATTTGGATACCTCTGGTTGTCCACTTCTTGAAGATCTGAGGTTGGTAGATTGCAATTTTATGAGTACGTTGAACTTGCATGCTCCAAATACAAAGCTCAGGAATCTGAAGATAGTTGATTCCAATACAGAATGGGGTGAAGGAGGTCGCATAATTCGTGCTCCTCATGTCCTCTTTATTGACATCACGGGTGACTTACGGCCGAGTTATGATATGAAGGATTTATCATCAGTAATTCGTGTCAGGCTTGATTTTTCTGAAATGCTAGATATTATTCAGTCTCCTGAGAGTTATGATGCATTTATGATGCTGATGAATCTCATTGTAAATGTTAGTCATGCAAAAACTCTGAAGCTCTGTAGGTCTTGCATTACGGTATGTGTATTTATATACAAAAAGGTTATGCTTTTACTTGAAATGCGTTGTTATTGTTCTGTCCAAATAGGATAGTAGAGATATATGTAATGGCTTTACAATTTGAATCGTAACTTAGAACTTCAGACAGATCCCTTTTATATTATTTCTTCACGACTGTAAGTTTCTTCATTATGGGAATAATTAATTTTTTTCTTCCATAGAATTAAAAAGTAATGTCCATTTGGGATAGCTGAAGTTTTTCGTAAAATTAATTGTGAAATTTTTATGGGAGAAACAAAGTTTTTAAAAGGTGATGCGGGTATCATGTACTTAATCACACCAGAAAATTTTAGACGTCAGTTTTCTTACTTGTATCATACTCTAGTAGGCATGATTGTGGAAAAATTCTTCTCACCATAAAATTTTATGAAAAGTAGCAATAAGTTATAGCCAAACAAAATTGTAGCAACAACTTGTCAAATTATGAAGAAGTTGTTCTAAACACACCAATATAAATAATGACTATTTTACAATTTTACGGTTTGCCTTTCATACAACAACAACAACAACAATAAGCCTTTATCCCATTATTTGGGGTCAACTACATGAATCCTTTTTCTCCATTGTGTCATGTTAAGAGTCAAATTCTCAACTAAATCTAATAAAGAAAGGTCATTTATAATATTTTCTAATCAAGTCTTTTTAAGTCTACCTCTACCTTTCTTAATATAAGTCAGATATAATACATCTACTTTCCTTATTGTGTAATCCAAAGGTTGCCGTTTATGTGACCAAATGATCTAAAGCGACTCTCTCTAATCTTATCTTCCATTGGAGCTACTCCAACATTTTCATGTATATGCTCATTTCGTATACTGTCTTTAAGAGTAAAACCACTCATCCACCTGAGCATTCTCATCTCTGCAACACTTAACTTAATATTATGCTTCTCTTTTAATGACCAACATTATGCACCATAAAGCATTGCAGGTCTCACTACCATCTTATAGAATTTTCCCTTAATTTTGAGAGGAACTTATCTATCACATAACAAGTCCGATGCATTCCTCCACTTCAACCATCCAAGTTGAATTCTACTAATAATGTCCACATCTATTTCACCATCACTTTGAACAATAGACTCAAAATATCTAAAATGTATGCTTTTATTAATGTCTTGATCGCCCAAAGTCACAATCCCCCCACTAGATCTATTATTACTAAAATTACACTATATATATATAGTTTTAGATCTACTCAAACGAAAGCCTTTAGACTTTAAGGTTGACCTCCATAATTTAAGTTTACCTTCAACTCGCTCTCTAGTCTTATCAACAAGAAGAATATCATCAGCAAAAAGCATACATCAGGGTATAACCTCTTGCAAATGTTTAGTGAGACATCCATGACTAAAGCAAAAAGATACGGGTTTAAGACTGATCCTTTATGTAAATCAACTGGGAAAATACCTGGTCAAACCACCTTGTGTTTGAACACAAGTAATAGCTCATACATACATATCCTTAATAACTTGAATATAAGCATTATTAATCCCTTTCTTATGTAGAACTCTCTATATCACTTCTCTTGGAATTTTATCATATGCTTTCTCTAAATCAATAAAAATCATATGTAGATCCTCCTTATTCTCTTTGTACTTCTCCATCAAACCTCTCAATAAATGTATAACTTCCATTATAGACCTAACTGGCATGAATCCAAATTGATTTGAGAAAAATTAGTGTCACACCGCAACTTATACTCTATAACTCTCTCCCATAGTTTTAAAGTATGACACATTAACTTAATTCATCTATAATTCGCACAATCTTGCGCATAACCTTTATTCTTAAAAATAGGAATTAACACACTAATTCTTCACTCATTTGTCATCTTTTTAGTCTTCAAAATAATATTAAAAAGTTTATTAAGCCATGAAATTCCTTCGTATCCTGAGCATTTCCACACTTCTATTGGAATATCATCAGGTCCAACAGCTTTTCTACTCTTCATTTTCTTTAAAGCATTTTTAACTTCGGTTTTACTAATACGCCAATAAAAATAAAAAATTTTATTTTCATTTAGGGTGCTAAGGTCATTAAAGTCAATTGCATTCTCATAATCTTCATTGAAAAGTTTTGCAAAATATCTCAGCCACATTTGTTGAATATCCTCCTCTAATAAAAGCACTTTTTGATCTTCATACTTAATGTACATCACTTGAACTAAATTCTTACTATTTCTATCTCTTTGTTTAGGTAACTTATACATATATCTTTTGCCCTCCTTAGTATCTAATATATTATGAACAATTTTCATCTTGAATGTTTTCTGCTTCGGAGCAAGAACAATGCGGACTTATATTCTTTGGGATTCGTTTGGGACAGTTGTAACTTTATGTAAAAGTAGCTATAGAATTATTTTGAGAAAACTAGATTTTTTTAAAGTTATTGTAATTATTATAGACTTTTTTTCATTTTAAAAAATTTGGATATCTATTTTCTTACAGCTACCATACTTTAGTAAATATGATTATAAAAAGTTATTTATTACAATAAAAAATTCTTAAAAATAGCAAAAAGATTTTAACCAAATAATAATATGACTATTTTATAATTATAATGTGTACTATTTATTTAGATACCTACATATGTGTTAAAGAGACTAGTAGGTTGGATCTAATATTGTTTGTTTAAAGCTATCAATAGTTTACTAGATGGATGACTCTACCATGAAGATCGAAAGGGTGGTAAAGAAACTAGATCTCAACGCGTCTCTTAGTGAATTGATATACAAAAAACCCGGTTGAACCCCTCTAGATGAAAAAGGTGAGTCAAATTGAGCTACATGGAAACAACTTAAATAAAGAAATTTGAAGAGAATCCTAGAGAGATTATGTGAGCTTTTATGTCAAATATAATATTATGGATTTTTCAATAAGATTAGTAGGCTTGATCTCAACTCTGACTTCCCTACCCTATTTATAGGCTAGGATCAAAGTCAGCGTTATTGAATTGGTTACATAATACAATTTGATAATCATAATATAAACTAAATTTGGTATAGCCAAATGTGTGGTAGCCAAGCCAAACTTTTACTCTATGGTTAACCATGAGTGAATTTCATATTGAGGGAAAGCACCCTTAGTAAGTTCTCCTGCAAGAACCCTAGTTGGTTGATGAGCACTATGTGCGAGTTGTTGTGTTGAGAGTTCATTGGGCAAATTTCCTTGATGAAAGTGCAATCATATGAATCTCTTTTTCAAGTTTAATAGCTTAGCACTAAAGGCTGAGTTAGAGTTATCTCTCGAGCTATTTGATGGGATTTTGTTCTAATCTACGAAAGGCTTTCTTTGACCTCAAGCATAGCAAATTATGAGTTGTAGGAGGTTTAATCTAGTTCATGGAAAACTGTTGCGTCCTGGAATATTCGCGGCGGTAGAGAAATATATGGTTTAACGTCTTAGCATTGTACGAAGATCCAGCTCACAAGCAGATAAGAGAGGGGGTGAAACATTTATAAGAGACACCAGAGTTTTTACGTGGAAAACCCCTGAAAAGGGGGAAAAACCACGGGGCCTGGCCCAGTTTGAATGAATCCACTAGTATTTGTAGTCAGTACAAATGAGGCTCTTCCTTGGGAGAAGGCCTTGGATTGATGTAGCAAATGTACATCATACAAATTGCATTACATAGTAGGAATTACATATACATGTTTGTCTGGTCGGAAGGACCGTAGTCGGCAGGAGATCGAGGTCAGAAAGACCGTTGTTTGTTGATGGAGGTCGGAAGGACCATAGTAGGCGACGAAGACCTGAAGGACCGTAGTCGGTAGGAGACTGAGGTCTGAAAGACCGTTGTCTGGTGATGGAGGTCAGATGGACCGTAGTAGGCGATAGAGGTCAGAAGGACCGTTGTAGTAAGGCGGTACTTTGGTAGAACTCTGGACGTCAGGTAGTGGCCCAGCAAAAGTCCAGGCCTCAGGTGGTGTTCCGACAAAGCAACGGCGTCAGGTGGTAGTCTAGCGGAGGAGAGGGCCTTTGCCAAGGTGAGGGCCTCTGGCGAAGGTGAGGGCCTCAGATGAAGACGTCAGTCCTGAAAGTTGGGCCTTGAGCAGAACGTTGGGCCTGAATGTCAGGCCTTCAGTAGCACGTCGGGCCTGAACGTCGGGCATGAACGTCGGGCCTTGAGATGGTGGTGCGGCGAAACTCCGGCGGTGGTCCGGCGAGGCTCCGGCGGTGATCCGGCGAGGCTTCTGCAGCGGTCCGGTGGAGGTCCGGCGGTGCTTCTACGGTGGTCCGGCGGTGGTCCGGCGGCCGTCGAGGAGGAGCTTCCTCCTTCCGGGATAGCACATGAAGTTTCAACTATTCAATAGAAGGAATGATATGATTAGCTTCTTCAGTGTTTTGTCTTTGAACTTATATATCATCTTCAATAAATATCATAGCTTTTAATTCAGGCTCATTAAGTGAAAGATTAGTAATTTCTAATATTATCATATCATCAAGAGACTCAAATCCATCTCGGAAATGAGAGAGCTTTGCTCACAGTCGCGGAAGTAAATACGATGTTTGTTTTTCAACGGACACGTGTATCGGATACGCGTGTCCTTTTAAGATTAAATAGTATTTTAATTGGATACGTCTTTGGCGTATCCGACACGTATTGGTGGAGTATCGGAGGTGTATCCGTGTATCGGTGTATCGGATACAGCACGCCTTCATAAATAGGTGTATCGATGCAACATAGCCGTTTGGTAACTCAAATAGTGGTTTGAACCTTCCTACAGCGCTTCGGATCCATGATTTGGACCCATTTGGGTTCGGATTCGGTCGAACTTGGTGTCGTTGGGTTCGTATTTCCGAGACGCTCAGTTTGACTATAAGCTCGCTGAAATCGGAGTTCGGATGCTCCCGAAATTAAATTTTGAAGTTTCCAACTAGCTTTCTGCCTCGAGATTCGTGCCCGATCAAGATAATTTTTGAATGACGTATCATGTTCTAATCTACGAAAGGCTTTCTTTGACCTCAAGCATGGCAAATTCTGAGTTGTAGGAGGTTTAATCTAGTTCAAATCTAGTTCACATTTAACACTTTTTTATATTTGATTTAGGTTCTCATTAGGACTAGATTAATAAATATGGATGTACAATAAGTATTCATACATATGTGCATTTATGTTCGTCATTTGTGAAAAGTAGTATGACAATATAGAGATTCTGATAGGATTTGGTTCTAAGCAACAAAAGACTTTCTTTGACCTCAAGCCTGACAAAATTTGAATTGTATGAGGTTCAAGCTGATACGCAGTCTACAACTTATACGTGATTCTGGTTCTTATAATAACTTGATTGATATGGCCCAGAAAAATATGGTATACAATAAGTATTCATATATATGTGCATATATATACACCATATATGAAATGTAGCATGGCAATATAGAGATTTTGATATCTTATTATTGTAAAACATCTTTTATTTTTTCCAGTCAAAATGAGACTTTCATGAATAAAGCTTCATGAGCTAGAATGTTGAGATCCGCATGCTTCTAAATGAAGTGCATTTATGTTTTTTTTTTCTAATAATGTTACATCATATACATATAATTACATGTTCCTTAAAGAAAAGCCTAGCTATATGGCATCTAGTGGTGTAGAATTGTTGCGTTGAGCTCTAACTATACAGTTACAACCTATGATGCACCGACACTTCTCCTCAAAGAGGCGTGCAGTGTCCGACACGACACTCGTCCGACACTCCTCCGACATGTGTTGTTGGACACGCCGAAAACGTGTCCGATTAAAAAAATATTAAAAATAAATTGGACACGCGTGTTCGACACGCGTATTTTAAATATTTTATAATTTTTTAAAACATATAATTTCTTATATTTTGCAAGATTTAAACTAAATTTCTTATTTCATATCCACAACATCAAATCAACGACTACATTTAATACCCATTCATCAAATATTTTTATTTTCATTTCTCTTTGACAGTGAAGGTATTTTCATCTCCTCTCTTTTTGCACAATTACAAATCTTTCTCTTGTTGAACCAGAGTTGAAAGTAGTGATATTCAATGATGATGATATTGAAGGCCAAAAACAAACCTCTAAAGCTAATCATAATAATTGAAGCTTGAATACTTGATGTTGTAGTAAGTGATTATTTGCTTATATTTTTGTGGTTGTACTAGATATTTTGTATTAAATATTTTATATTATAAACTAGACAAGTTATCATGTCATTCATTTATTATTGTTTGTCATTTTTAATATGATATTACATTAATATATATACACTATATTAAAAAATGTATTGCCGTGTCCGCGTCGTACCCGTGTCTTATATTTTCAAAAAAATGTGTCCCGTGTCCGTGTCGAGTCGTGTCCGTGTCGCCGTGTCCGTGTCCGTGCATCATAGGTTACAACTAAAGCACAAGCTCAGGCCAAGTGAGCTTGAGCTAGTTGTTGAGTTGGCTTATAAACTCAGGAATCAAGAAGATGAAGGAGAATTTGGGGAACTGGTGTGTAGGATCTATGGAAAGAATGGGAAATAATGGGAGAAACAAAAGGGAAGGTAGAATGTTTTGGGTTCTTTCTATAACTTTATATGCAAAACTTTTAAAATTTTAGAACTTTCAAACATACTTTCTATTATTTTCTTAACCAAACTTGCTGACAAGCCTGTGAGTCGAGCACAGGCCGGCTTTAGATTAGCTTGTTTTATTAATAAGGCCAACTAATAAGCAATTTGTTAAGCCAAACTTGAGCGTTCTCATCTCACTTGTCCTAGTGGTGCATATTTTCTTGTTTATTTATAATTAAGTGTTAACCTTCTCTAAACATTCTGTTATTTGTTCTCGAAAATAATGTGTCTCAAAGTCAATAAAATTAGTTAATTAATTCATGTTTCTGTTGTAACTAATTTTGGTTTTATTTTTGCCTTATATCTAGGTTTTAAGTTATGTGAAGGAACTGAAGTGGGATATTCCCCATTTTGCTACATCATGCCTTGAAGTGGAAAGCATATTCAATGAACGCGAGCTTGTAGGTCTGGCAAATATACTAGGCAGTGCTCCTTGTCTGGAATTTCTCACATTAAATATCGGTTATAAGGTTCGTATTAGATCATATTACGTAGGATTTTGTTATTGACTAAGCTTTTCCACTGTTTGTTTATTAACGTGACTGTTTTTCTTCTAGAGCTCATGGTGCAGCTGGAAGAAGTATAAAAACTACCCAAGAAGTGAAACTTGGGAGTTGGTTGAGATTGTTCTTCCGACTTTTTTATGTACAGTTAAAACTATTACAATAAATAATTTATTCAGAAACATACATATTTCTTATGGAATTGAATCGGCCAACACTGTGGATGAAATACTGGAAGTTATAGATGAAGAAATCAAGCTGGTGAAGTATTTACTGAAAATTTCTAATATGCTGAAGAAAATGGTAATCATAATCAGCCATGAAACTACATTGCTATACTCCACTTCAGATTTTCTCACAAGCATTACAAGGAAACTGTTACATCTCCCTAGGACGTCATTGAATGCTGAGATAAATGTTTCATATGGCAAACCCCAACAAGTTTAAATTGATTATGACGGTTGAACTTCTTGTTTCTCTTGTTTCTTGTACCGAAAAATAGGTTGGTAGCATCTACAAAGATTCTCATTGCTTTTTGGTTGGCCTTCGGATTTGTGGGTGAAGCACCCCTTCTCTTTCATAACAAGCTTGCTAACGTGTTGTTGGAACTTCGATTGGTCTAAATACTTGATCAGTTTTTTGTTTGGTGACATCTAAATTGAATTTAGCCAAGGGATCTGAAGTTCATTGTTCCTATGTTGATTTCTTCAATAGAAAGTTAACTGGCTTCTTGATTTCATGTTTCCATTTATGGGAAACTTTTGAAGAGCTTGATTGAAATGTTGTAGAATTTTATCTTTTTGTTGGAGTTGATGAAAACATAATTTGCTTTATAGCTAACTTTTTGGCTACAAACATCTGAGTTCATTCTATCATTGAAAGGAGCCTGCCAAATTCACTATAATCTCACAAGTTTCTTGACAAGTAAGCAACATCTGTTGACTTGGATATCTCCAGTAGTGTTTTATTTGAAGATTATACCTTGAGAAACTTGGAAGTCTGCACCGCAGTTCTTTTACGCACTAGATGCTTGCAAATTTCTTCCGGAATCATTATTATATTTTGTTCATGACAGGTTCGTTTTGTGGTTTATTTCTAGTTTGTCAGTATTGTTTCCCGTAATGATACGATTGTTGAAATGTTTGTCACGCAATAACTCTTCTGTTCTGGGGGCATCAAAACCATTTTTTGTTTCAAAGAAAAATATGCTTTTATGCTTTAAATTACTGAACTATTAAAAAAAAAGGTTGTTCTGCTTCAATTCTTGGTATTTATTTGAGAACTTGATAGGAAATACTCAAAGAGAAAGTGACTTTCCTTGGTTGAATTTGAATTTCAGCAAGGGACAAACCATAAAATAAGAAGAATTTGATGGAAATACTAACAAAAAAAGATTTTACTGAAAATAGATGAAAGAAAGATAGCAAGATACAATGGATGCTCAATTGGAGAGGAGGATTCGGCTCTCCCAAATCTCTAGATGCCACTAGAGGCCAAACAAATCTGAAGAATTCTCCAAATTTTAGAAAATGCCAGCTATGTCTAACCCTAGGTTTACAATCTTACTTAAAGCAGTTAAAAATATAGTACATTATCCAAACAACCCCCTTAATTTGAATTTTCCTCTAATTCTCCCCTTTAATTTTCTCTTCAATGCTCTTAAATGCTACTTGGCCCCACCCAATTAAATAGGCAGACGCCTATTCCACCTAAGCAAGCATAACTCTTCCGCCTCAGCAAGCTGAGCCTGTTCACTAAACAGGTCTAATAATTACCCCCCCCCCCCCCCCCCCCTCCCCCCCCCCCCTCCCCTATCACAAAGACCCACCTTGTGTACAAGGTAGAAAGACAACTCTCTCATCAACTTCCTCTTTATCACAAACGATGAGAATTTGAAGAGTTCGATTCTTACACATGTGCCCTGGTGTATACCTCTTCTCACGTCTAAAACACATCCCCTTCACATTTTTCTCCTATAGCTCTGTTTCTGGGAGTTGCTTGAATTTTTTTCTATGTCATCCTTCTACAGTATTTTTCTTCGTGGTGTCCCTAAGAGTACTCGGTGTCGGCTCCTTAGATGCCAAAAAGGTGGTGGTCATCCTGTATAAGCCTCCTGAGCTGTTGCCTCCAGTCCCTCTATACAGGTGTGTATGATCCTCCACTAACTGAGCTAGCTCCATAGTATCTCTGAAATCATAAGGCCTCATCATTCTAACTGCAACTCGTATCTCTGGTTTCATAAGGTTCCCTTCCAGTACAGTCTCCGGAAGCTGGTCAAGTGGGCTGGCTAGGTACTCAAACTACTAACAGTATTCCACCACCGTCCTCTCCTGAGTTAGGGTGAAGAACTGCTCATAGAAGTTCCCTCCCTTGCTGCTTAGAAAACATTCCAACAAGCAGTTCTTAGGCCTTGTTTTGGAATGCTTTCTTATTGTTTCTTAAAACAGATTTCTAGTACATTTAATTTTTGTAATAAAAAGTTGTTTTAAGAAGCAACAAGAAAGCTACCCCAAATGAGGCCTTAAACTCCTTCCAGGTCCGTATGGGCCGCCTCGTACCCCTCTACTTGTACTATGCTAAAGTTTTTCCTTCCAAGTACATCTCGGTTGTCATAAGTCTCTCCTCCCCCGCCAACTTATTTACGGTAAAGTACATTTCCACCTTGTAGATCCACCCATGCACATCATCTCTCTCAAAATAGACATCTTCAGCTTCCTCACACGGATCTCCTTCATTCTTTTCCTTCATAATTTCCCATTTCCCAAGGGGGTGTTTTCCGCCAAGTGTACCAATCTTCCATTCTACGCTCGTACCCAAATCTTTCATCAAATTCTCATATTCTTCTTTCAAATTCAGCACCCCTTGGATCATAATTAGCCCTTTACCTTTCAAATTCCGCCCCTCTCCTCTCAAATTTAGCACGCCGTTGTTCATGCCCGACCTCTTCACACCTCTCCTCATACCCTCTACCCGGCTTCTCCCTACAAATAGGTTTTAGGAGAGGCAGTCTCTCTTCTCCCTCCCGAATCTCCATCTCCTGATATTCCCTTCGCCTTATTAGATTAGGGCTTTTCCTACTTCCTTGGTTGCTGGAGGTTTCCCTTGCCTCTGACGATGCCGTTTTGGGTTGGCCCTCAAGCAACTTCTTCAACATCTCCTCTAGGATGAAAAAATTTCCATTCATCTTCTCGTAGATGACTGAAGTTTGACTTTTGAAATCTTAAAGTTAAGTGTGGAGATCTAAAATTTTAGATTTCAATTGTCTAATCTCCTCGTCTAACACTTCCACTTTTCTTCCTGTCGTAGGTACCCGAATTTAGGCTCCAATAAAAAAAAAAAGAAACAACTTTGATGTGAATTGACCTCCAATCAACAAAAACAACAAGATCAGAGAGAAAACACAACATAAATCAGCGAGGAAGACTTATATCTCAGCCCATAAAATCACTCTGATACCAATTTAATAGGAAATACTCCAAGAGAAAGTGAATTCCCTTGGCTAAATTTGAATTTTAGCAATATTGAAATCAGAAATTAAGAAGAATTTGGTGGAAATACTAACGAGAAAATATTTTACTGATATATGATGAAAGAAAAATAACAAGATACAATGGATCCTCAATTGGAGGAGGATTTGGCTGTCCTAAATCTTTAGATGCCGCTAGAACCAAACAAATCCAAAGAACTCTCCAAATTTTAGAAAACATCAGCTATCCCTAACCCTAGGTTTACAATCTTACTTACAACAATAAAAAAATAGTAAATTACCCAAACAACCCCCTTAATTTGAATTTCTCTCTAATTATCCCCTTTAATTTCTTCTTCAATGCTCTTAAATGTTGTTGGCCCCACCCAATTAAATAGGAAGATGCCTATTCGGCCTAAGCATGCAGAACTGTTCCGCCTCAACAGGCGAAGCCTGTCCGCTAGACAGGTCTAACAATATTGATGGATCAGCCGATTTCATTGGGAGGAAATTAGAAAGTTTCCTAATCAAGAGGGAGTTATTTAGGAAGATTTTTAATCAAAGGGGAATTGTTTAGGAATGTTTAAATTATAATTAGGAGGGAATTATTTATGATAAGAGGTATAATTTGAATTCAAAATTTAAGAAGGAATTATTTAAGAAAGATGAAGAGGAATTAAGGGGAGATTGTTTAGGAAAGTTTTAATTATAATTAGGAGGAATTAATTAGGGAAATAAATCTAATTTGAATTCAAATCTGAGAGGAAATTATTTTGGGAAAGAGGGCTGATTAGAGAGAGATTTATGAGAGCCTATTTAAGGCTAACAATAGGGTGATTTCAGGATTATGTTTTAGAGTTCGCTGAATTTAGTTTATTTTTAGGTTATTTGGGCTCTAGCCAGTGGCTAGGGTTTTGGAAGAGCCAAATCTTCCTTTTCAATTGAAGATTCAATTGTATCTTATATTTCTTTTTATAGTTCTTTCAATAAAAATTATTTTAGGGCGGTGTTCTTCCCTTTTTTTTGTTTCGTCCACTAATTTTCTGTGAAAGTGCATCAACTTTCTATCAAATTGGTATTATAGCACTTTTTTGGGAGCTATGGCGGCAAGGAAAATTGATGCCTTGGAAGAGCATCTTAAAGAAAATATTGGCCAAGTCAAATCAGCGTTTGAGGATTGAATGTCATCAATGGAGGAAAGGTTTTCCAACCTAGAAGGAATGATGAAGAAGCTGTTGGATCTTCACGTCAAAGGACATTATCAACATGAACGACATTCAATTCCTGTTAAGCAGAACTGTCAGCAAAGCATGAACAAATTTGCTAATGCAGTTGAATCAGATGCAAAGTTTTGTTTAATAAATCCTATTTATATTGTGCAAGATTCCAAAGCCTATGTAGTTTCTTAATCTCAATTGAGCAAGTATTCAATGAGCTCACCTATGAATAATCTGGTTTCTGCTAGCTGAACATTACCAGTTGCATTGACAGATGACATGGAGGTGATTTTGAAGTCACTTCCAAAGATGGGAAATGGTGAAGGAATGAGAATTTTGGTGGAGCTGCAGAGTTTGGAAGGCGAAGAAGATGGGAAGAAAATAGAAGCATCATATATGGTTCAACCACTCATACATCAATATCGAGAGGTGTTTCAGCCAATCCATGGTCTGCCTCCTCCGCAGGAACATAAGCATGCTATCATCTTGAAGGAAGTAGTCTCATTTATCAATGTTCATATGTATTATTATCCCCAAATCCAGAAGGATGAGATTGAGAGATTGATCAGGGACATGCTGGAGGTAGGGATCATTCAACTTCATTCGACTTAGTGTTTGTTCATTTTTCAGTCAAATGCTATAAGTCAAGTGCTTCAGCAATAGTTTCCTTCGTTCCACCTTAAGGACAAGGTGGCATTTTGGGAGGGGAGTATTGATGGACCGGCCGATTTGATTGGAAGGAATTATGAAGTTTCCTAATCAAGATGGAGATTTTTAGGAAGGTTCTTAATCATATGGTAATTGTTTAAAAATATTTTAATTACAATTGAGATGGAATTATTTACTGTAAGGGTTTTAATTTGAATTCAAAATCTAAGAGAGAATTATTTAGGGAAAAAAAAGAGGAATTAATAGGGGATTGTTTAGAAAATTTTAATTACAATTGGGAGAGAATTAATTAGGAAAATAAATCTAATTTGAATTCAAATATGAGAGGGAATTATTTAGGGAAATGGGGATGATTTGGTAGGGAATTATGGGAGCCTATTTAAGACTAACAATAGGGTAATTACATGATTATGTTTTGAAGTTTGTTGAATTTAGTTTATTCTTAGGTTATTTGGGCTCTAGCCAGCGGCTAGAGATTTGGGAGAGCCGGATCTTGGTCTCCAATGGAAAATCAAATTGTATCTTGCATTTCTTTTTATAGTTCTTTCAATAAAAATTATTTTGGGGCTTACTTCCTAATTTTGTGTTTCATATGTTGATTTTTGTGAAAAGTGCATTCTTTTCCTATCATAACCTTTATCTTTAATGAATTTAGGCTTAGATATGGGAGTTTTTGGTTATGTGTAATGAAGGGCATACATTAGATGTGTGGATAAAAGTACTCTGCGATGATTAAGAAGAAAAAGAGTTAGACCAACATAATATGGATTGAAGTTGTTAAAGAAGATTGCAAAGATTAGATTTAACGTCTTATGCAATATTCAATACAAATAGTTGGAAAAAAAGAATTTACAAAGTATACTCCAAATTATTGGGATTAGGCTAAATATGATGATGAATTATTATTTATTAAAAATATTTTTGCTGATTAAATGCCTTTTTTACTAAAAAAGATGTACATATTTTTATGCTTTCTCCAGGAAAGCAAGGATCATCTTACTATTGGGATCCAATCTTTACTTCATTCAAATTGTTGTTGTTTATGGATCGAATATTGGTTTTCCCTTTTATCAAACATTGGATTAAACATTATGATTAAATGCCTTTTTGTGTATTTTCAATCGCATGCTCACATACTTGAGTTTGCATTCAGATGCACCACCTAAAATGCTTTACACAAACATCCCCCTATTGTTGTTTATGATTATACATGGAAGACTGCTTGAACGCTACCAAATTGGTAGATTTTTGAAATTTTTGTATTTATCTTTATGATTTAAGTTGATGACATGATGTGCATTCTTGTAGAGAGTGCTAATTTCATCTGTGTTAAACCCCCCCACCACCACCCAAGAAAATTTCCTAATATAAATCCACCAAACCCAAGCTGTTCCCATGAAAAAAAAACTTTTCCTATTCTATTTCCCGCCCTAAGGCCCACCACCCCCACAAATAAGAACCTATTTTACATAGTAGATGGAAAATAAGAATTTATAAAGTAGACTCCAAATTATTGCGATAAGGCTGAATATGATGATGACTTACTGAAAATATTTTTGCTGGTTAAATGCCTTTTTTTATTAAAAATGGTGTAAATATTTTTATGCTTTCTTCAGGAAGGTAAGGATCATCTTACTACTAGGATCCAATCATTATTTTATTTCGATTGTTGTTTATGGATCGAACACTGGCCTTCCCTTTTATCAAACATTGGATTAAACATTATGATTAAATGCCTTTTGGTCAGTCTTCAATCGCATGCTCACATACTTGAGTTTGCATTCAGATGCACTGCTTAAAATGCTTTACTCAAACATCACCCGGTTGTTGTTTATGATTATATATGGAGGATTGCTTGAATGCCACCAATTTGGTATATTTTTAAAAAATTTGTATTTATCTTTTTTATTTATGCTGTTTGTATTCTTGTAGAGAGTGCTAATTTCATCTGTGTTAAAACAAATTTAAGTTTTTTAAGGATATTATTATCATTTCATAAAATGACATTTTCCCTGTGTTTAATTACTAATGATGAATTTAGCCCTCCGTTCACATGAAAAAATAATTCCTATTTGATTTCTCGCCCCTAGCCTCCACCACTACCCACCACCGCCACTGACCACCCTATCTTTGGACTTTAAAGTGCATTCGTTTTACTGCAAATCAAACAAGAAAAAGTAATTCCTCGCATTTATTTTATACTTATCCAAACAGCTCCAAAGTATTTCAAATACGCTGCATTACTTCAAGTCATTTTTGGAAGCCGTTACTACCCATTTGGATCAATGTATGCTTTATCAACAAGCCCAGTTGTGAATTAAAATTTAATTTTGGGCCCAATTTTGAGTTTTTCCCTCACGAATTTGGTGGTCTTCTTTATCATGGATTGGTGGTAGATCTGAAGATGCTTTTGAAAATTATAATGCAAAGAAAACAAATGAAGTGCCCCGGTGATTAATGGGAAATTAGTACTCCCCTGGAAATTAGGAGAGAGAGGGATGAGTTTCGGAATTTCTAGTTTCTAATTATTATCCATTTATGAGATGTCTAATGGAACTTAAAAGCTTGCTATCATCTACTGACAATCTACCTGTTTTTGGGTTTCGGTGAGCATATCAGTAAGACAGCTCTTGATTCATTTTAAATGTAATTTTTATAGATGAATACCCGAGTAGCATCTTCTTTATCACTCTTGTAAGCACCGAACTGCAGGCAGGTTCTTCTTTGGGACGACTAAGGCTTCGTTTGGAATGACTTTCTTGCTGCTTTTTAAAACAATTTTTTAGTACAAAATTTTTCATTTTTTACCAGAAAGCTAATTTAAGAAGCAGTAAGAAAGCCATCCCAAACGAAGCTTAAGCGTATTTATTTATTGTTCAATTCATTAGTTTTCCTTTTTTCAACATTTCATTGAAATCTTTCACAACTTGTATGATAATTATATGATGTCTACTAAATCATCAGAGACTTGCTTCATTTTGGACGGTTAGGATCTAATCAGTACACAAATTTATTGTCAAAATCCCTTTTTTTAGTTGGCTGGATCTCTGCCATCAATGTTAATGCTAGGCTGAGATGAGTTGGTTAGATAGGGACCCAATCCTCTCAACATTATTTGCTCATCTTTTCCATTACTTAGAGCGGAGAGTTTAGAGATTTATTTATTTATTCATTTTGTTGGGGGAGCTTATTTACCGCAGTAATCCCCACTGTAAAGATGCAAAGAAAAAACATGGAAGCTACTTTTTTAAGTTTGTAGGGAAAAGAAAAAAAAGAGATACAGCGCTTCAAATACCTACCACATTTGCCTTATCAAAATATCTCTTTGCCTCATATGGGAACCAAAAGAAGTCAACATCATGGATAAATATCTTTCCGCTAGAAGATAAAAAAGCATAAGAAGGCTGAGATCTTAATTTCACACCTCTCAGCATCAACTGCACCATGCCTTCATGCTCCTTGAGCCGCTCACTGGCTTCTACCCTCCAATCTCCTCTGCTGCACCACCATGTTCAGATTTCTAAGCCTTCCATTCATCTTCTTCCACTTCCTCAGCAGCTTACTCCGCCCCCTCCAACCATTGGAATTATTGCTGCGGCAAGTGAAGCAGTAAGCCTGGCAACTGCAGCTGCCGAGGCTGCTCGAGATGCTCTGCTCTTAGCTTATGCCCTTACCGAGATTGATCCATCTCAGTTATCCAACAGGCTTGGATTTGAACATCATGAGAATTGTTTGAGAGATAGGAGGCGGAGACGGCGGCAGAGGAGGGGAGCAGAGCTGGATCTTAGTGGCAAAGATAATGCGGAAGGGAGTGGTTTGGCAGAAAGCTGCTTGTCAAAAACCGAGCGTTCGAGGTATCTCACATGGGATCAAGAGGCTGAGTTCTCTAGCTGTCTTAAGGTACTTTGTTTGATTATGAGTTCTATCAGTGTCCTTTAATCAGAGTTGTGATACTTACAAAATTGGTTGTGAGCACAGGTTGTTGCTATGATGGAGGTTCCTTCAGGTAGGAAAACCTCTTCAGGTGCTGCAAGGATGAGGAGGAGAAGAAGAAATGACAGGGCTCTCTTAAAGGCGAGAGAGTGTAGAGAGAGAATCACCAAGAGCTATAAAAGACTTGTGGTTTCAGTTGCAGCTGCTTATCAAGGGAAAGGGCTCAGCCTCCAGGATCTGATTCAGGTAGAATCATTGTTTCAGACAAATTTTTGAATTTTAAACAAGGATGCAGTTCCGACTTCGCTGTGATTGCTAGTCTGTCATAAAACATGTCCTGCATGTTTTGCTCTTTTCTTTTTCATTCCTTTTAAACAACTCCACACAATTCACTTCTTGGATGATTACCAACAAGATTGGAAACAGTACGACTTATATGTGGAAAGAAATTACTGAGCCACCGGACTACCTGAAGCTCAAATTATCTCTAACATTTATTTCTTTGTTAGTTATCTTCACATATATGCACACACTCATGTTTAATTTTTGTACTAAAAAACTGCTTTAAAAAGCAATAAAAAAGCCGCCGCAAACGAAACCTCGATTTCATGTGAGGAATTTGGTTTAATGGTCCTAAATAGCTTGTGTCAGATTCAATAAGCAGATGAGACAAACATGAACAGTCAATCTAGTCTATTTTTTGTTACCTAACACTGACATGGTGAGTTAAATGAAGCTCAGGCTGGCTCCTGGAGCTCATTTACAACACAATTATAGCCTAGCTCTGATACAAACAAAGTTGCAGATAATCCAGTTCTCCATTATGCTCTTTGCAATCTACCATTAGAGTTCTCTATACGTTATTTCTAGTGTCACTTGCACTGAAATTAAATTCTTCTTATTCCAGGAAGGAAGTATAGGGCTTCTTCGAGGCGCACAAAGATTTGATTACAAAAAAGGAAATAGAATGTCTACCTATGTGTATTGGTGGATCAGACAAGCCATCATGAAAGCCTTAGCTAAAAATTCCAACATTGTTCGATTGCCGGTATGGATACTCATACAGAAAAACTACAAAATTTCTTTATTTTTTATAGCATTGCAGGGCTTTGTTTAGAATATAGAGCTAACAAATGGACATTAGTACATATGTAGGGATATTTGTGTACAATGAGCGCCAGAATAGTGGAAACTAAATTATTATTGAGGGAAAAGCTTAAGAGATCGCCAACTTATGAAGAAATAGCAGAAACGGTTGGCATTTCTACTTCCAGTGTGCAGATCATATGTGAGAGAAGTCATCGGCCGATATCCATTGATCAACCTATTAATGGTGAAAAAATAGCACTTAAGGTAATCTTTAACAAATATTAGTTAACCATACAAAAGTATGTTTAGTTGTATAATCACATTTTATTTGCTATATATCTCATCATCATCATTAACCTTATTTAGGCATTCGAGGTTAGTTTTATGAATCTTAGATCTTCAGTAAGGCTTTATTTGAGACGGCTTTCTTACAGCTTCTTAAAACAGTTTTTTATACATAAAATTTAATTTTTGTACTAAAAATCTGCATTAAAAAGCAATAAGAAAGTCGTCCCAAACTAAAAATTTAATTTTTTACTAAAAAGTTGCATTAAGAAGCAGTAAGAAAGTCGTCTCAAACGAAGCCTAAGTGTGGCATAAGATATTTCTTATTTTGTGCTAATTATTATTATTTTTATTAATATAGGTGATAGCTCTAATGATGAATTTATAATCAATTTTGAAATGAATGTCATAATCATGTTTATTTAATTTTGATTTTGTAATGTATAATTGGATGTCTCATATGATCAACTCTTTAATTAAGGCATGGACCCTCTCCAAAATTCTAAAATATCTTTATATATTATATATTTTGGTTTTTATAAATATGATTTTCATAAAATTATTGAATATATGTCCCTTTTCAAAATTTTAGAATTTAGGATTATAAATGTTTATTGACAAATATTGATAAATATGTTTAAAATAGGCAATTTATGCACCAGTAAAAAAATGCCTTGCTCTGCCATTGAGTGGAGCCAAAACTATGCGACTCATATTAGTTTTGCCCTAGGACTTGAATTGCACATCTCGTTATGCATTCTCACTAAGGTTTTGTTTAGATAGTTTTCTTATTGTTTTCTAAAATAATTTTTTAGTGCAAAACTTTCTATTTTAAGAAATTTTTATACTAAAAAGTTGTTTTAAAAGCAGTAAGAAAGTTGTCTCAAACAAAGTTTAAGGTTTTGTTTGGGATAATTTTTTTTAGGAAAATTTACATACATACCACTTTATAACATCCTATTTACATATCTAACACCCAAAATTTTAATATTACATGCATACCACTCTATATTATTTTAATATTAAATATACCACTCATATTTTTTTCCTACCACTCATATATTTCATTTCTACCACTCATATTTGATATGAAAATGAACTAAGGGTGGTATGTATGTAATATTAAAGTTTTAAGTGTTAAATATATAAATAGAGTAGTATAAGGTGGTATGTATGTAAATCTCCCTTTTTTTTATTGTTTTTTAAAACAAATTTCAACATTAACATTCAAATATATACAAAATAGGTACTCTTATAGTAATTTATTAAATTATTATTTAATCTTTTATATAGGATATTATCCAAGGGCCAGATGAAAGAAGACCAGAAGTTATTGTCAATAGAAAATTATTGCTACAAAACATGGAGATGCTTCTCAAAGCACTTGGTGAAAGAGAGGAGCATATCATAAGGTCATATTATGGAATAAATGGAGAAACTTCACTGACATTTGATGAGATTGGAAGATCAATAAATCTTTCAAGGGAAAGAGTTAGACAAATTTATTACAATGCTCTGGCAAGAATGAAAGAGGACAAAATTGTATTAGGTGGCTTCAAAAACTTTGTAGGATAAAATTTGTACATATTCTGAGCAAATTTTAGATAATTTCTTTTCCAAAGCTGAAGTATTACATCCATCCATGTTTGAATTCCTTATGAAAGAAGCATATATGCTGAATTCAAACTGAAAATTTCTCTTGCAAAGTGGATTGATATTTTTAGGGTACTGTTTTGCTTTTCTAAAAGCTTATTTAAGATATTAAAAAAGAGATTATTTAATTTGAAATTAAATTATAACACAAAATTAATAAAAAAAAATTTGACTTTTAATGACTTGTAATGACTTATAATAGTTGTAATTGATGAAATATTCTTATCATTTATTTTCTTTGTGAAGTATGTCTTGAACTTTATGCAAATGAAAATTTTCGATCTTATATTCGTCGATTGGCTATTGAAGTGTAAGGAAAATGAAATTGATTCCAAAAAGTTTTGAATAATGTTCAAATAAGCTTTTAACAAAATTTGAATAAGGTTCAAATTTAACTTTAAATAAATTTCAAATAAGTGTAAGATTCAATCACATAAGAATAGGCCTGTCAAAACCGGGTCACGGGTCGGGTTTTGGTTCAACCCGAAACTGACCCGGGTACATACGGGTCAACCCAAATCCGACCCGATTTTCGAAACGGGTCAGTTTGCTGGACCCGAACCCGACCTACTTTGACCCGAAAAAATTAAAATTAGTTTTTTGTATTTAATTACAAATAAAAATATATACCTTGTTAAACAAATTTTTAAAATGTACAACAAAACATATCATTTACAAATTACAAATCAATAAATTACAAAAAAATTACATATCTTTTACAAAAAAAATTACATATCATTTACAAATTAGAAATCAACAAAATGACCGGGTCGTCACTTTTCCCTTGCTCAGCCAATAAGCACGGCTCAACTTCAAGTCTTCAGGCACACGACCTATATTCACATAACAAGGAAGAACTGTATTATGCGAAATTAACAAGTTAGATATGATGCTCATTGCTCAGATTAAACCTTCCAAATCTTTAATCACCTTATGAGGTGTATGTTCAAATTTCAATCAGCATTAGCATATTACCATCCAAGGAGACGAATTGTATTTTGCATTAAGTTAGTATCTATTCATTTATATATGTAGTATCTACTCATTTGACTTGAATACAAAATTACAAATGTCTCCTGGTTCTTATAGCATTTATTCTAAAATTATTCCCACTATAATTTGAGAAGGTTGATCATCATCGCTTCATCACTTCAAAACAACAACAAATAATATTTAATGATTGATCAAATATTCAAATGAATCATAAGAAGCAGCAGGATACACGAAACATCACATTTCAAAATATCAAATAAATCAGCATTCAAAAGAACAAGCACAGAACTGAAGCAGCTGGCAGCACATGCACCCAAAAAAACACAACAAGTTTTCCAGAATGTTGAAGCTCTGGATAACAGAACTAGTTCTTGATCGTGTACATAACTGCAACAAACAACCAAATAAATTTTTCACATCAATAAACACAGCAGCACATGCTAAAGTTTTC